TCTGGCCGCCCTCTCTTCCTAGTAAGAGTGGCCTCCAGCATAACACTAAGCAACCTGTGGGTCCAGGGCAGAAGTTCTGCTAGGAACCCTTCCCCTTCATCAACCCCTGCATGGATGATGCTAACAGTGCTTCTACCTTCCCCACCCCCCTCCCTCCCCAGTACCCTCGGCTACCCCCTCTTCACCCTTGCCTGGATAATCCTACTTCCCAGCTCTCCCACCCACCAGCAGCTTAGGTCTGGGTGGAATCCATCACAAACTCCTCCCTCTGCAACCTCTTACCTCCACAGATCCATCCTGTGACCTCTTGTCTCCTCTGGCCTCTCCCTCCACCATTCACATTCTTACTCAAAAGTCCCTAAGACCCTGAGGCTTGATGGTGCCACAAGAGAGGAGAGCAAGTTCCCTTCAGGGAACCAAGGAACTGGCTTGCCTGGCACCCAGGGACAGTAGCTATTTGGCTCTTCACTCAATTAAAAAAGAAAGAAAGAGATCCCTGCCCTCCCCCCAACCCCACTAGCTAAGCAAGAGCAGAGCTGTGGTGAAGAGCCAGTGTGGGGTAGTTGGTGGCCAGGGCTGTAAACAGTGTGAAGACTGTAGTATTGTGCTTGTCACCTAGGGAGAGGCGCGGGCAGGTATACTGCCGCTTAGTGCACAGATGGCCTCCTCCGAGCGATTAAGAGCACCCTCCTTCTTCGGGGCTGAGGGGCGCTCACTACCCCTAATGCGCTAAAAACCTCTTGCCCGCCCTCTACCCCCACCCCCGCAGCCACCTTCTGGGTTCTACCCTCTGCTCCTTGTGCCTCTCCAGGCCCCCTTCCCACCCATCTCTGAGCAGAGCAGCCAGCCTCCTGGGGGGCTCCCCCCTCCCCTGGCCCCACTGAGGCCTGGAGGCCACATGAGGTGACAGTCTAAGTGCACAGGCAAACGCTCTAAGGGCAATAGAGGAGAAAGTTGCCACTTCAAAATAAAACAATACAATCTTGAAAAAAAATAATCAACCCCGCAACAATTTAAAACAGCTTCTTTGAAACCCTTTTAAATCGGTCAGTTTTTGCACAAACTATAGAAAACAGAGAGGTGAAGGTGATATATATACGAAGGTGTGAAGAAACAGCAGGAAACATGCAAAACTTGTTTTTTCTGGGCATAATCTTAGTAGGAAAGGAAAAAATTCAAAACAAAAACACAAAACAATACAAAAACAAAAAATCAAAGCATCACATTTTGCTGTGGAGACTGTAGGAACAAGCATGGAGGTGGGCACAGTGGGGCTGAGGGGAAGGGGCCAGAGGGACTTGAAGGCTCCCTGCAGGGTCACTCCAGGGAAGAACCACAAAAGAAAAAGAAAAAGGGCTGGCTGGGGCCCAAAACTGCAGCCTGCGGTCAAAAAGGAAAGGGGGTTCAGGTGTTTTCTGCAGTTGAGAACTCAGAAAAACAAAAGAACACATGCAGTCTCCTCAAGCCCCACAAACTATCAGCAAAATGTGCTCAGGAGCCTCAAAGGTTTTAGTGACATCTTTTATTTCATTGTTTACTTCAAAGTTGTCTTTAAAACTAAGCACACAGAGAAACAAAGCCTAGAAACGGACTGGCTGTGTGTTCACAGAAATACAAACACCACGGTATGTGCTAGTAGGGCTGCTCTGAAGACAGTTACAAAGAATTGGAATCACAAAATCAAGTGGTTATCTTATGAAGTTCTAGAAAAATAGATTTTTTTTTATATTCAAATGCAAGTTTAAATATTTCCCCTTCAGCAGTCGTTCTAGCAAAACCAATTTGGCAGCACAAAAGAAAAAAAAAAGGAAAAGAAAAAAGAAATAACAAAGAAAGAAACAAACATAATAAAAATACACGTCAGCATCAAAGGTCAACACAAGGTCAAAGGTGAGAGTTCAAGCATCAGAGAAGCTGAAGAGACAGGGATTTGGACGATGTACTTGACGCCACATCGACATGCTTTAGGCACAACGATGAACAAACGGCAGGAATCTAGAAAAAAAAACAAACCAGAAAGAGGGAGACCCACTGAGTTACACAGAGCAATACATCCAAACAGAGAGAGAGAGAGAAGAGGAACACTCACTGTGTACAGCCCTGAAATGAGGAGGCGGGCGGGGCAGGGGCTGGGTAATGACAAGGAACTTTTGCACATGCTAACAATGGACACAGGGAAAAGTCAAAAAGGACATGGAGGACACCAAGAAAACATCCAAGTGCCAGAGACAGAAGGGAACCTAAGGCTTGGATTTCCCCTGAGGCGCCCAAACAAGTCCGTGGTGGGAGAAGAAGATAGGTCTCTGGTGGAACAGAGCTCCAGCCTCTCTCTCCTCCTCAAACCCAGGAGAAAGTAGAAGACAATGGCTGGGGTGGGGGGAACTCTCTAGGGGAGAGGGCCAGGATTTCCCCTCAGTTCTATGGGGATGGCCTTGTGTTTCCAGAAATCCAAGCTCTTAGCTTCCACGCAGGCCCTGGCCACTCATGTGGGACCCAGGAGACAATGTCTGGCTGCATTCAAGGCAAATCAATTTCATGATGAAACCCAGTAAGAAACAAAACTATAGGCAGAAAACACATTTATGTTAGGTGAAACCCCCACACGACAGAAAAGGATTGCTTAAGACTTGACTGCTAGTCTCCACTCTCCGAGCTGAACCCTTCCACACCATGAGACTTGTAGGGGAGCAGCTTCTTCACAAACCATCTTTGGCCTGGGGAGAGAACTGTGCTCAAGGGCAGTGCTACTATGCGCACTCACTGGGGAGGGGGAGGAGAGCAGAGAGAAGTGCCTGGTCTCACCAGCTGGCCGCTAAGGCAGCCCAGGGCCCTGCTGTGGTACACGCCCCTTTTAGAAAAGAGAACCCCACAAGCAGATATGGAACCTCTGGGTCTGCTAGCAAAGGCAGGCTGATTGCACCTTTGCCTTTCATGTTATTCGAAAAGGCGTTTCATAAGGTCCCAGAGCCCAGGACAAATAATAGTGAAATGGGGGAGGAGGGGGAGGGGAGAGAGTGTAGGAAGGGAGTGGAGTTCTGGGCTTTGGAAAACCCCGCGATGGCCAAGGAGGAAGACGGAACAGAAGGTCAGCTATGGCAGCACCGGCAGCACCCTGGGGAGCACAGCTCTCTCCTCTGCCAATTCACAGCATTAACTCCTTCCCCTCTGGCAGATTATTAGCTGGGCTGCAAACGGGCCACAGAGAGTCAGTAGTTTCAATCATACACAGCACCCTGTGTGTACAACAATCACATTCTGGATTCTACAAAATCCTGGCCTTTTCCAGAGATATAATTTAGGTAATAAATATTCTCCACCCAGGAGCTGTATAAAACTTCTATAAAAATAGAAACGACATTCTTGGTTCCAGCCGGTTGGGATTCAGAACAGCGCCTCCCCAACCTAGCATTTTTTTCTTTTTTTCTTTTTTCTTTTTTATTTTTATTTTTTGCATTTATTTAAAAAATCCCATCATGACCCTGGAAGCCTTTGGAACAGTTTTATCCTTGAAACACAGGACACATTTCTCCCAGTGCGCGGAATTCAAGTTTACGTGGTTCAGCTTAAGAAGTATGTTTCACGTCTCTTAGAGGACAACAAACCCAAGATATCACTATGAGAAGGGAACAGCTGTCCCTGCTTCAATGGGATAATCCAACACCACCAAACTACCTGTACAACAGCAAGATGGTCAATCCCTGTCTGTGACCCAAACGGACAGCATGACAAGGAAAGAGCCGCCCCCCCACCCCAATCTGACTTAATACCAAACCAACCCCTTGAATCTCATCTCTGCTGCTAGGGGTCAGGACTGATGTTTGTGAGGTTGAAGATCCCAGGGACCCAGTCCCAGGCCTTGGCTAAGAGTCAGATCCCAACAGGGCTACCTCTGCCCAGATGCACATTCCCAACAGCACGTCCTTTCTGGCTCTCCACCCCCACAGCATTTCTTGGAGCTGAGGCAGGGCCCAGAGGCTGTGTGGGTCACAGGCAAGGGCTGGAGTAAGACCTGTGGGAGGCAGCAGGGAGCTAACTGTAAGCACGAGGACAAAAATGAACATGGTAATACTGAGGTAAATGAACACTAAATCCATATGGAGGCTGTAAACGTCCTGTTGTCTCCTGTGTCCCCAAGAGCAGAAGGGGCTGGAGTGGTTAGAAGAGGGGCCTGCCTCGGGGGGAATACTACATCTGGGTCCCCTCAACCAGGGAGGCAAGCGTAGATTTCTCATCTTTTTAAGTAGTTAGTGCTGGCCACTGACCAATGCAGCACTCTGGCTTAAAGAGACCTTCTGATTCAGGTACACCAAGAAGCAGGCTCCTCCTCCCCTAACTCGATGGCTTTCAATTACTCTGCTCAGGAGAGGTGCCCCCTTCAGCTAGATACTATAAGCCCCTCTTGGATTTACCCTCAAGAAAAAACTGTGCCTCAGGATGGAAATGACACTCTCTGCTGTGGTCAACTACACAGAAGGAAACCAGACAGTGTCTTCCCTAGAGGCCTTGTTTAAAGGAACCTGTTAGAAATGGGCCATGTGGTCTTGAAATAAACTAAAAACGACCTGACTGGCTGCTTCTTCCTAACAGCCAGCCACCAGCCAGGCAGAGCCAATCCAACACCAATGGATGGCTGGAAAAGCTGGTAATGGGGGACGTCTCCCTGCTTTTTGCATATGTGAGGCTAATTTAACAGGTGCTTTATTCCCAGAGAACTGTCATCCCCTTCTTGGGAAAGTGGAGCAGAAATCTTGCAAAATAGGTGGCAAGAACTCAGCAGGCAGTGAGGGAGGTGCTCCAGCCTCCAGCTCCCGGGGCCGCTGGGTGTGGGTCAACTCTCCTCACCTCCAAAGGCAGCCCTGCCTCCGCCCCCCAAGGCTCTTGGGCGCCAGTTATTTCACCCACTCTTGCACTAAGGTAGATTCTGGGGTCAGTTTTTGGTTTCACTCAGTCCTCTCTCTTGGGGTAGGTTGAGGAAAGCTCTCATCTTCTTTTTTTAATGTTTCTCCATTCCCCCTCCTCCCCCAGGGCGGTTTGATGTTGGTCCTTCTCAACACACACTGGTTACAAACACAGCAAACTTTAAATAAAGAAAAAAACTTAGGATATGGCACCTAAACTCCAAAGTAAAACACTGGAAACCAAAGCACAAACTCGTCCTCTGTACGAAGCGAAACTCCCACAGAAGGCAGTAGCCGAGTCTTCAGGGCAAAGCTGTGCCTGCAGAGTGGCGGGGGTCAGGGTCCAGGGCTGTCAACACACAGCCTTAGGGCTTCGAATCATTAAGGGTGCTCCTCCCCCACTTACCAGAAGACCCTCTCACTCCAGTCTCAGAGGGGAGCACGCTCAGTAGGGCTTGCTGTCATTCTTCGAACGTTTGAGCTGCACTTTAAGCCGCTTCATGCCAATCTGAAAGCCGTTCATGGACTGGATGGCAGCTTGAGCCGAAACAGGATTGTCGTAACTTACAAAACCTGCGTGTCCAAGCAGAACACAGGGGGAGGGGCATGGTGAGACAAGGAGATTCTGGGTCCTCCTTACACAGAAGATACCTTGTGAGCGAGCACAGTCTGATATCCCAAATTTCTCAGCAGGGACAAGCAATCCGGGGATTACATCACATGAGATAGGTTAGGTTCCCGACTGTGCCACTTGACATCTACATGGCACTTTTAAGTTTTTTGACCAAGCTGTTTCCATACATTATTATTATTTTTTAACCTCTGGAACAACAGTGTGGGTAGAAACCCACCACCCTGCTACAGAAACGAAAAAACTGAGGCTCAACAAGAGGTCATGATGTCTGCCCAAAGTTGAGTTAAACAGTAACCCAAACTCAAACCCAGTTCTTCCTGCTATCAGCCCCTTCTCATTCTCAGTGGTAACGACACTTAACTCTCCCAACACCAGAAGAGAAGCCAACATACCAAAACACTTGCTCAGGTTTGTCTGCTTGTCTATGAAAACCTTGGCAGACACGACATTCCCAAAGGGCATAAACATCTGCAGCAGGTCCTGATCTCCAAACTCCTGGGGCAGGTGGTAGATGAACAGGTTGGCTCCCTCTGGACCTTCAAAATACCCATTGATTGAAAAGGCATCAGTGTCAAGCTTGCCCCCGCTCCACCCGCCCCCACCCTAGTACCACTGTTTCTCATTTCTACCTGCGTTAAAACTGTCTGTATCCTGGGGCACCTGGGTGGCTTAGTCAGTTAGGCAGCCAACTCTCGATTTTGGCTCGGGTCATGATCTCAGGGTCCTGGGATCGAGCCCCGCACTGCTCCAGGAGTCTGCTTAAGGATTCCCTCCCTTTGCCCTTCCTCTCTCTCCGCCCGCCCCCCCGCTCTCAAATAAATAAATAAATCTTAAAAAACAAAAAACAAAACCTGTCTGTATCGCAACAAACAGATTCATTTGGAGAACTAAAGATTCTCCAAATACAAAACAGGAAACTTAAGAGCAATCACTGGAACAGACTCCTTCCCATTGAGGGGTATCAGAATTAGACCTTATGGGAGGAGTGAGTGCTAGGACAACAAAGTAGGCAGACTTGTGTGTGGCGCAAAACCGGAGACTAAGGCTTGTACAGAAACACAGAAAAAGAGGTAGAAAGAGATTACAAACAAAACAGGTTTCAAAACTGTGCTAGAAACTACTGGGACAGCAAAGAGACTGGCAGTTGCAAGGCAGGCGGTGGGGACAGGGAATGACTGCAAAGAGACATGAGGGAATTTCTGGGGGTGATGGAAACATTCTTCATCTGTGAATGTGGTTCCATGACTATATGCATTCATTAAAGCTCACAGAGCTATATATTCCCAAAAGGGTGAATTTTACCATATGTAAAGTACACCTCAATAAAAAGAAATTACGTTTTAAAAAGTGCCTATGGGGGCGCCTGGATGGCTCAGTCGTTAAGCGTCTGCCTTTGGCTCAGGTCATGATCCCAGGGTCCTGGAATCGAGTCCCGCATCGGGCTCCCTGCTCCGCGGGAAGCCTGCTTCTCCCTCTCCCACTCCCCCTGCTTCTGTTCCCTCTCTCACTGTGTCTCTCTCTGTCAAATAAATAAATCTTAAAAATAAATAAATAAATAAAAAGTGCCTATGACTAACACTGAGCTCAAAATAGAATATGCTTTCTTTTTCCAACCACTTATGCTCAATGACTTTCTAACCAAAGAAGTCTTATTACAATTGCAGTCCAGCCATTCTCCAGCCACCAGGCCTCCCTGCTGCTACCAAACACATTACAGAACAGTGCTTCCTCAGGGCCTTTGCAGTTGGTGCTCCTCTGCTCCCATTACTCTTCTTCCTCTAGATTTAGGCATGGCTTGCTTCCTTACTTCCTCTGGGCTCTGCTTAGATGTGAAATTAGAGACCTCTGACCATTCTACACAAAATGCTGTGCCTCTGTCACTCTCCAGCCCTCCATCCCTCATTCCCATTCATCAGTCCTCAGAGCATCATGTGGAACACCTCATGCCTTTCCTGCTTTACTGTCTGTCTCCACAGTTCTTTCAGTTCCCCTACTACCACATCCTAGGGAACAGAACAGAGCAGGTGAGGATGCACAATACCAGGAGTCCTTGCTGCTGTGGCAAGAGAGGATACGTGTCTTTCCCCCACATTAGTGCTTAAACCTTGCCAGCTTCTGGCCACAGAAATCCAGTCAACTACGAGCACTGAGGTGTCAGCAGGACTCTGTATTCATGCAAACCACTGTCAGGCCTCTTTCTGCCTAGAAAGTCTCCCCTGCATTTAATATTATTTATGTCAAAGCACACACTTCCCAATTCACCAACACATGGGCCATAACTCTTTCTGTCCCATCCTCTTCAGTGTGTCCTCAATTAGGAAAAATGGAGATCAAAAAATGAGGAAAATGCCAAATAACAGAGCTTAAAAGGGACACCCAGACAGAAAACATCCTCTGACAAATCTGTAATCCACAAAGACGACTTCTTAACAACAACAACAAAAGACTGCGAAATGCTGTCAAACAGTAAGGTCAGTATGCTTCTTCATCTAAAACCTGCAGCCTGGGAGTGCCTGCGTGGCTCAGTCGTTAAGCATCTGCCTTCGGCTCAGGTCATGGTCCCGGGGTCCTGGGATCGAGCCCCGCATCGGGCTCCCTGCTCAGCGGGAAGCCTGCTTCTCCCTCTCCCACTTCCCCTCCCCCTGCTTGTGCTCCCTCTCTGTCTCTCTGTCAAATAAATAAAATCTTTAAAAAATAAAATAAAAAAATAAAACCTGCAGCCTGATCACAGGAGGGTAAACAGAGGTTCTGATCTGAGCCACATCCAGAGAACATTCCAAAAGCAGAGTATAGTTTACAGAGCTTATCAGTCTACCTTGGACAGTGCAAAGAAAAGCATGGGTCTGACCGCCTGACTGGTCCTCTTGGGCCTTTGCCCTGCCTCACCTCTGCTGCAGGTAGAGTGATCCCCCGTCCTCCCAGTCCCTAACTGCAGCCTCCCTTCTCTACTCACCTTCCTTCTGGCTTCCAGCAGCACCAATACTCTGCTGTGTCAACAGGTTCTGGTTGTACAGAGTGGGGAGCGCTGCAGCAGCATATTGCTGGATTCCCGAGTAGGCCTGTGTGAGGGCCTCCATGGTGCTCCCGGTGCCGTTGGAAAGGCCACTGCTCCCTAGGCCACCATTTAAAGCAGCCATCCCTTGGTGGTGGGGAAGACCGGGATTACCATATTGGAAAGACTCGAGTGGCACCAAAAACAAACTCCAGAGTTCTCCCTTTTTGCTCTCTCTCAGCTTCTCCCTGAGAAGGACCACCCATCTGACTGGTCAGATCTCAGGACACTCACCAGGCCTTATCGCTCATGGGAACATTAAAAATGCCACACCCACCTGTGGCTCTCCCCATTACCTTTTTCCAACCTATGCAGGAAGTGATACCACTTACACATGACCTGCTCCATCTTCTGACTTTTCTGTCACTTTCTCACACAGAGTTGGAACGTGGTAAAATAAGCATCTCAGGTTTGGGTGCTAAAAGGGGTGTGTGTGGTCTAGGACAAGATGTGGGTAAACCCTATCATCAAAATAGCAGCTAATATTTAAACACATTCTACATGCCTGACACTGTACTAAGCCATGTGCTCAGCACTTTACCTATGTTCTCATTTACTTAACAACCTTCAAAGTGTTCTTTTCCCACTCCGCAGATGAGAAAATGACCTTAGGTGGTATTATGTTACAGCTAGTTAAGGGGCAGAGGTGGGATTTAACTCAGGTCTAACTTGAAATGCCATGATTATTTCTAACTTTACCAGGCCACCCTGTTCATTCTAATGGTGACCTACCACGGTTGTTTAAAATGTGCTACCTGCACAACGAATGGCCTGATGACATCCAGGGGCTGTCCCTCACCTGCCAAAGAGCTGACATTGAGACCCGCTGTTGCTCCAGCTAATGTCTGCAGGGCTCCCAGGGAGGCGATGGGGTTGACAGAGCTGCTGCTGCTGGAGCTCGGTGAGGACCCTGTGATCAGAAACCCGGGTGTTAAAGTCAAGCATTCCTTGCTTCGCATGTCAACAGGAACCAAAGCACAAGACTGATACTACTCAAGTATTCTCTTAGTAAAAAGGTTTTCAGATTCCGATTACTGTTGCTGCAGGACATAAAGTCAAATGACAGTTATAACAAACTAAAAATTATGAGATTTCTCTTAAGTCAGAAGGTGACATTTGAAAATTAACTGTTCATAGTCTGACCCCTTTGGAAATAGATGTTAACTACTCTCTAGAATGACAGACCCCTCTCTGGGGATTCTGCCCAAGGCACACAAGGGCATGTTGGTTCCAATAACACACTTACCTGAACTGGTGAGTACGCTGAGGGGACTGCTGGATGTAGTGAGAGCATTGGTACCACTTGGTGTGTTCTGAGCTGCACTAGCTGCAGCAGCTAGAGCAGCCAAATTCTGTAACTGCATTGCATTTAACCCTGCAACATCCAAAGCAAGAGATCAGCCAGCACATAAAGGTTCCTTGTATCCGTTCCATCAATGACAGCACACACTGGTGAAGGCTGGTTCCAAAGAGGAACTATTCTAGGTAAGCCTTACAAGCAACACTACAAGGCTCTAAAAAAGATTCAGATATCACTCATTAAGAAACCTGACATCACTGCCTCAAGAGAAGATATCCAATCCAATAGCATGCCACCCCAAGTGAATATTCATAGAAGGGACTGGCAATGAGGAAACCAAGACAGGGTAAGGTCTGTGGTCCACCACAAAGCCAGGTGTCCAAGAGAACAACAAATGACAAAACTTGTGGCACAGAATGGAACTGCATCCGAGCCCCTCACTCGTACTTTATAGGGGATTTGCTCTTTCCAATGGAGGTGGACAGGCAGAAAACGCAGCAGGATCCAGGTGACCAAGGGGGATAATGACAGAGGAGGATGCACGTGAGAAAAGGAATAGGAGAAAGACTAAAGAAAAACCACCACTTGAATAGCAGATTACTCATTAGGAGGAGGAGAGAAAAACACCAAGGGAAAAAAACCTCCAAGCAACAGTTAAAAGGAGCAAGAAATCTGAACTGCACTGACAGTGTGCTGCAAACCACTCATTAGATGATGGAAAAGCAGATGGGTGGTGGTGGTTGGGGGGAGAGCTAGTGAGAATAAAACTGAACTACAACACAGATTTACAATCTAGCAAATTTCCAAAAACATAGCAAACTCCAAGTCCTTGAGCCAAAGTGAACCCCTATCAAAGTTTCTCATATAGCAAAATGCAGTTCACTTAAGACTACCCCTTTCTCAAATGCACCTGCTGAGCACGGGCATTTAATCCACGGCAGAAGGGACAGCGGCAGGGGGCACTGGAAATGCTTCGCTCCCCAACTCCACTAACTTGTTTGACAGCCCCACCTTCAAGTTTGTCTGTGGAGCCCCATCTTTTGTCATAACTTAGGTATTTGTCAATTAAGTTTTCCGTGCACATTAAGAGCAACAAAAGGTAATTCACCTAAGAAATAACATGTGTAAGACACAGAGGTAAACTAACTGCCTAGATTCTAGCAGTTTCTGGTAAGACATTTGCATGAATGCTGTCTTAGGCTTCAAAGAGTCACTGGAAAAATCACTTTATTGGGGAAATAAAGAGTTCCTGCAATTTTCTCCTTATCAAAATGTCTTCAGATAGTCTACTTGTGCAAAGAGCTCTTCTCCATCTTCCTCCTCAACAGTTAAAGGGGTGGAGAGCATCAGACAACCCCAGAGCAATCTTGTATAGCAACTAAAAGAGCCACCTTCCAGAGACAAGGCAGTTGAGTCCTGGGATGTTCATCTCACGTTGGGTTTATGAAACGGGTGGGAAAACATCTGTTTTCTGTACAAACGGTGCAAAACTCTCAGACTGCTGTTGGCTGAGCCTCGTGGCCTGGTTGCTGCCGCTCCTCCACAGCAGTGAAACACTTACCTCCCATCGGGTGGAGGCCGCTCAGGGTGCTGAGGTTCCCAGAGGAGGCAGTCTGCTGAAGGAGCTGCAAATAAAGCTAGACATTACACCAAAAAACAGAACAAGAGTGAGAGTGAGGGCTGGTTCTGCATCTGGGATAACTCTACAGCACAGCAAAGCGAGAGTGCAGAGGCCCCCAGAGAGAAGAGAGTTGAAGACAAGAACCCAAGCCAACACAACAGAAACATGAGGCTTATGACAGCACAGGACAATACGACACGGCTAAAGCCCTGCCCCAGGAGACAGTTATGTTCACTGAGTACTGAGCCAGGCTCAAGTCCCTGGGCAACAGAGGGCAGCACAGCAGAGGACAGGAGGAGAGCAGAGAACTAAGCTCAACCCAAGCAGCTATGCAATCCACTGCAATGAGCATCCACACATGGATGACCGCCACTTCTAGTTCCTCTCTCCCAAGTTCTCCTTAGTTCGGGCCACACATCTTATTTTGTGATTGTTTCCGTCTAAATTTTCAATTTCTACCTCACACAACTATTTTAAATATCAAATCTAACCATTTCAGAGTCTTTCTTTCTTGGAGTCCTTCTTTGCTGGTCACAATAGACCCATGACTAATCAGTCTTCCCACACTCTCCACACACCCATCCAGCCCCATTTATCTCCTCCCCCCCAAATCGGTCTCTACTGTTGCAGATGACCAAATGATTGACAGACTGATAGATCAGTTCAGTGTGTATTCCCTTTCAATGGTTGTTCCTTAACAAAACAAGAGGGCCTGTCCATGAGCTTATGGATCTTTGTGACCTTATTCACTATCTTAGCATATAATAATCTGCGTCTAATAAACCTGCTGAAAACCTTTGCTCCATTCAAAGCCAATCACTTTTCCTTATGGACAACTGATATTCCTGTTTCTGTATCCTTTATTCAACCTGCTGCTCATTCCCATAAACACCTGACCTGGTTCCCCTGTCATCATGAACCTCTTTAGTCCACATAGGTTTCAGGAGGTCCACAAACCTCCGATACAGAATGAAAAAATGTGCATGCACATAATTTTTATCAGCCTCTCAGAGGGGTCCACACCCCACAAAGATTAAGAACCATTGCTCTAGTCCAAAAGAGATCAGGTTCAAGTCCACCTATTCCAGAAAGAACCTCACAATTAATGATAATGTACCATTTATACACCCACGTCTTTATTTTTGTCTGAAATACCTCGGGCAATGTGCTCAATTCCAACTGGTGGACTGTGCATACTGTACTTGGCACCTTCATTTCCTCCCTAAATGAGAACAGCTCTGAGGGCAGGGATCATGTCTAACTAAAACAAAGAGACTTTCAGGTCTCAACAAATACCATCATGCACTGCTGGATATGTCAATGGCAATAAAAAGGGGAGTCTTCCCTAAAAAGAGCTTCAAAACTAAGAAAAGCAAATGCTTATCATGGAGATCATTTTCAACATATTATCATTTTGGCAAAAGACCAAAATAAAATCTTCCTGAATTTTCTGAACTATATAAGCAATGTTCTAGCACTAAGAAACGTTTTAATCTGTTGAGATATATCAACCATCTACATTTTTTTTAAATGATATGTGATGATCTTTAAGATTTATTTATCTGAGAGAGAGAGAATGAGAGAGAGCATGAGAGGGAGGAGGGTCAGAGGGAGAAGCAGACTCCCCGCTGAGCAGGGAGCCGTATGCGGGACTCGATCCTGGGACTCCAGGATCATGACCTGAGCAGAAGGCAGACACTTAACCAACTGAGCCACCCAAGCGCCCCCCATCTACATTTTTTTACTTCGGAGAACTACTAGCTGGAAAACTGGGATTTCTTCTAACGTTTTAGAAATATGAAGGCCATATTTGGTGTCAAATTAGCCAAAACTCAGTACCGAAGGACAGAAATCATTGCCTTTCTTCTGTTTCTATATAGAACAATGTTTTAAAGGATGAGGAGTGAAGGACTATACTTATTCTTATGTGTGTATTTCTGGGACTATCCATACAAATCTAATGGTTTCAGCACTGATTTTCCTTCGGTGATAGCTTCACAGATGAGACAGTTTTAAGTGTCTTGTACCGTCTGCTATTCTTTCAAGGGTTAAAGCAGTGGTGATCCCCTATAATATATATTGTAGATCTAGTAAATCTAAATAACAAACTGGAGCCTTTGGACTACATGACTCAAACTCAACAAAAGAGAGATCAAATTAAAGGATCTATTTACAATGTAGTAAACTCAAATATACACCTGTAATACTCATTTAATAATGTCTGTATCAATATCTTGACCTCTCAGCGGGTGGGAAGAAACATTTATCATACTCTTCAGGGAAGACTCAACTAGGATTTTAAAGAAGCCTTCTGCATCTGGGAAAAAGAAATGGAGAAAGGTATTTGGTATTAAGGTATTAAGATTCCCTCAAGATTTTCTTTTAAAAAAACTAAAGGGACAGGGACATATGAGATCTTTCTAAATCTTTGTATCAGGAAATCAGGATTTCACTTTAATAGTAGTGGAAGTCTCAAGATATAACCCAAGATGTGTGATGAGAGAGAAAAGAGAAAGAGAGATGGTGAGACAGATACACTAACGTAACTTACAAGAATATTGCATTGCCTGAAGTTTTACAAAAAAACCCCCGACACGTTAAAGTCGTAAATGCCATTGTGTCTATTAGCTAGGGACAGCACAAGAAGAAACAGCTGGGAGCTTGCACAGTCTGCAGAAAGCAAACCACAAAGACTCACTGCTAAATACTGGGGTCCAAGAGTATTTAGACCAGCAAGGTTTCCCCACACAGATGCTGCGCTGATTTGCTGCATCTGCTGCTGGAGCTGCTGGGCCATTCTCTTCTGTTCTTTGTCCTTCTGCGTATCAGCAAATTTTACCACCATGGGAGATGAGCAACCCTACGAAAACACCAAAGCCAAAGGGTCAAATTCCTCCTTCTGGGTGAAAGAAAAAATCCTTTGTAGTGACACACAGGATGCATTCTAATTTCATTCACTGCCAAAATGACTCTCTTCCTGATAGACACAAGTGGCAAAAGACAAATTTAAAATGGCTACTTCTAATATGTTAACTTCAAGAGAGCATCATTTTTTTAACTTTAAGATGTTTAGCCTGCTTAACCTTTAGGGCAATCGGATGCTGTACATGCTGCAGAGCTTTGATGGCCAACTTGTCCTAGTACTCTCAGGCTAAGGAACTTTCCCTTTCATTCATCTGCTCCCTACCTCCATGGTCTGTGCTTGGTGCATTGCCTTGATAGCCGTCTGTGCCATGGCTCTTGTTGTAAAAGTCACAAATGCACAACCTGGTAAGAGAAGTGTCAATAACTCATTCATTCATTTGCTTATTAATTACCTGATAGACATTTACTGAGCACCTACTATGTGCCAAGTACTATGCTAGCAATACAGTTATGGTTCCTGCCTTCAGGGGGTTTACGATCTAGTGGAGGAGACAGATACATCGTAACAGTGCTAAGTGCTTTCATGAAAAAACAGGGAAGCACAATAGGAAAGTAAGTAACATGATAAGGGGATAAAGGAGGAATCACAGTCCTCTAGTTCCTCTTGAGAAGAAAGTGTTCCATTTTGGCATTAAGGACCTCTCCAAGCACAAAGAGAGAAAATTTTAACACATGAAACTGAAGTGTAGAATGTAGACTCCTTAGGGGGTTGGGACGATTCTAAAGGAATCAACTGGTAGGAGGAGCCATGATGGGACCTAGATTTACAACACCAAGCCCAACCTCTCCATCATGACAAGGCCATGTTGGCTAGGGAACACTGGTTTCCACTGGTCCAACTAAAAGAGACTCCAAATTTAAATATCTTTAAAAGCCAAAAATGTACCCACCTCGGCTCAGGCCATCAGGTCCCCGTAATATCCGGCATTCTTCAATCTGTCCAAATGAAGAGAACATGACTCGGATGTCATTTTCAGTGCACTTCTTGGAAATCATACCAATAAACAGCTTCCTGTCTTCCACTGCTAAGAGAGTAAAACACAAAAGGCTTGAACGTTACTACAAGAGATCGTGTAGCACAGACTCTAGAGTCAGACTATGTTTGAATCCTGGCTCTATGCCTCTAGACCATATTACTTGGATTCAAGATAAGCATTTTTTCATCATTTAGCACCTCCTCTTATAATCAATTGTACCTTAAGATTAAAATTGGAAGCATTTAGATGACATATTGTAGTTCTGTGAGCTTGTGAAAGTTACTTAACCATTCCACGGCTGTCACCTCTGATGAATAGGGATAAACGAGTTTATTTCAAAAGTAGCTGTAGGTATTACATGCAAAGCACATGCCTAGCACTTGGTGATGTTTGTTCTTACTAGCAGTACTACTGTACCAAAAGATGAGTTTTCACATTTAATTGATACGACAAGAGAAACACAACACCTTTCAGTGAGCCTGTCACTTTCCTTTTCTGATTATTCTCTCGAGGACCATGTTCTCCTCCTTAACTTGTCCATCCTCCCACCCCCATTTCTGTCCAGAAGAAATCATACTGATCAAAGACATCCTAGATTACTCTAAAATGTTCTTATACTGTTTACCTATTATTTACCATATTTAAAGAAAAAAACTATTTTTTAAAAGATTTTATTTAGGGGCGCCTGGGGTGGCTCAGTTAAGCATCTGCCTTCAGCTCAGGTCATGATCCCAGGGTCTTGGGATTAAGCCCCACATCAGGCTCTCTGCTCAGCAGAGTCTGCTTCTCCCTCTCCCTCTGCCCCTCCCCCCGCTCATTCTGTTTCACTCTTCCTCTCTCTCTAAAATAAATAAAATCTTAATTTTTTTAAGAGAGAGACAGTGAGAGAGAGAGTGCAAGCAAGCACAGAGGGACAGTGAGAGGGAGAAGCAGACTCCCTAGTGAGGAAGGAGCCTGATGCAGGGCTCAATCCCAGAACCCTGAGATCATGACCTGAGCTGAAGGCAGATGCTGAACCAGCTGAGCCACCCAGGTGCCCCAACAAGAAAAATCTAGATGATAGATTACTTAGTGCACTGGACTACTATCTTACTTCATACTCAAAATGGCTTAGACTTGAAACCATAAAACCTATAAGACCTGAAACCATAGAACTCCTAAAAACGTAAGTAGTAAAGCTCCTTAATATGGATCTTAGAGATGATTTTTTGGATCTGACTCCCAAGAACAAAGACAACAAAAGCAAAAATAAACAAGTGAGACTATATCAAACTAAAAAGCTTCTACAAAGAAAACCACCAACAAAATGCAAAGGCAACCTACTGAATAGGAGAAAATATTTGTAAATCATTTATCTGGTAAGAGGTTAATATCTAAAATAAAGACTCGTATTTGACGAAACGTTCAAGTCAAACACAGAATAAAGCCAGCAGGAAGAGACAGCATGAGGAACCAGAGAGCTTCTTCACCTGGTTTACGGACCATTCTGATGCAGGTGCAGATGAGTCAGGAGGGGTCATCAAAGATGGTATTTGGCCAAATCCGTTAGAGTACTACTTGGTTCCCGATATGGATGATGAAGAAGCGGAAGATGATGATGACGACGATGAAGAATAAGAAGGATTGGAAGATATCGGTGAAGGAGGAGATGAGGATGAAGGTGAAGAAGATTAAGGTGATGATGAGCGGGAGGAAGGCAAGGAGGATATAGGAGAAGACAACTAATGGAACGCTGATGGATTCCAACCTTCCTTTTTTAATTTTCGTCAGTCCCTGGGAGCAAGTTACAGTTGTTTTTTTTTCCCTCCTCTTGTGCTCATTCGCCCTGTTTTTTGAAGTCTCTTTTCTCTCCTTTTATATCATGGTTCTCAACTTATTTTGGGGGGAAATACCTTGAGCAGAATACAGTGGGAAAAGAATCTCTACCCCTTTCTGTTCCAAATTCATTTTTATCCCTTCCTGTCTCAAAAAACTTTATGGAATCAACACCACCATGCTCTGTGGGAAAAAAGAAAAACCTTCTGCTCCCTTAGCTCTGCTGGAAGCTGGAGGGTGCTAGACCCCTGTGTAGTAGTGCACAGAATTCTAGCTTTTTTCCTTTCTCTGTATATTGGGCTCAGAGATTACACTGTGTCTCTACGTGAATATGGACAGTTAGCATTTACCAACATGTACCTATCTACTCTCTCTTGTTTAAAAAACAGAAAAAAAAACTTTAAAAAATGGGGTTATAGGAGGACAGCAAAGGGTGGGTTTGAGATGTTTGGGTGGGTTAAGTGGGCATTGTGACATGGCTTCTCCTTTGGCATGTTTAATTGTGATGTTTAACGGACATCCTTGCAGTTTAAGATGACACTTCTAAAATAAAACTCTCTACTAATGATGACTTGAGCCCTGCCACTTGATGGGAGAATCAGCAGAACCTGTAGGACCTTATTTGGAATTGACATTCTCTATTATAATTTTGTTCCTGTTTATTTTTAAATTTTCTTTTTGTTTCACTGGAAAGGAAAGATGATGTTGTTTTAAACATTAAAAGTGTACAAGCTGCTTTGTTACAATGAAACTAAATGTGTACAAAAAGGATCTGGAGCTTTTCTCTCAGAACAGGTATATTTATTTAATATGATTTTCCAAGTATGACTTGTATAACGTATTGTCAAACTTTGTCACCCTGACTCCATATTTTTTGATACGCACTTTGCAGGGTGACCTCAGGGCTGTGTGGACTGAGAAAGGGATCTGAATCAATGTAGTAATGTCTCCAAAGCTAGGAGCCACAGTGGGTACAATCTGTGGTCAGTTTCTGAAATCTTCATATCCATCAGGATACCAGATTGCTCAAAACTCAGTTCTGATTATGTTGTGCCCTTGATTTGTGTCTCAAATTGGCATTTTTAAAAATGGGCCTTTATTTACCTGGATATAATAATAGTGCCTGCCACCACCATCAGACAGACCTGGTGCTCTAATGCCAAGTTACACACAAGGCAGTTACTGGCATGTCTTCATTGGTACTATGAAATGTGGCCGAGAAGACAGGCTCTCAGAGTAAGAAGTCCATATTGGTGGTAAGAAACTCAGGAGTACTTTTGTCTCAAAGTACTAGCTACTTAGCATATAGCTCTCCAGCGAGGCCTGTCTGTGTGAATCCGGGTGAGATGCCGGGCCCTGCTCTGCTAAATGCCATTGGGCACAGAATACCATTTTGGGAAGCTGCCTAATGCATAAGCTTTTTAATGCTGTAAATTATAGTAGCTAAAATTAAATACCACTTAACTTTTTCAGAGATGAATTAATGGACAGTCTGGTCAAAATTCAAAGCTTTCTGATGTATAAAACTTTATAAACGGAACTATTCCATCAATAGGCAAAGTGTAATGAAAACCTGTCTAGATGGATAGTATGTAATCTCTCCACAGGTCTTGTTTAGTAATACATCTGTATACTGGTCAGGAATCTTGCTCCAATAAAGGAACATAAAGATTAAAATAAATAAATAAATAATAAAACAAAATAAAGACTCATACAACTCAACAGCAAATGAAACAAAACACCTGGTTAAAAGACGGGCTGAGGATGTAAACAGATATTTTTCCAAAGACATACAGACGGCCACCAGGTATACGAAAAGATGCTCAACATCACTAATTATCAGGGAAATGCAAATCAAAACCACAATAAGGTATCACCTCACACCTGTCAGAATGGCTATAATCAAAAAGACAAGAAATAACAAGAGTTGGTGAGAATGTGAAGAAGAGAGCCCTTGTGTACTGCTGGTGGAAATATAAACTGGTTGCAGCTACTGTAAAAATAAATATGGAGGGTCTCAAAAAATTAAAGAGAGCTAACCATATGATCCAGCAATTCCACTTCTGGGTATTTATCTGATGAAAATGAAAACACTAACTCCAAAAGCTGCACACTCAGGGCGCCTGGCTGGCTGAGTCAGTGGAGTGTGCGACTCTCGATCTTGGGGTTTTGAGTTCGAGTTCCATATTGGGTGTAGATATTACGTAAAAATAAAATCTTAAAAAAAGAAGAAAAGCTGCACACCCATGTTAACTGCAGCATTTTTTTTTAAGATTTTATTTATTTATTTATTTGAGAGAGAGAGAGCATGAGAGGGGGGAGGGTCAGAGGGAGAAGCAGACTCCCTGCTGAGCAGGGAGCCCGATGCGGGACTCGATCCCAGGAGCCTGGGATCATGATCTGAGCCGAAGGCAGTCGCTTAACCAACTGAGCCACCCAGGCGCCCTGAAGCATTATTTTCAATAGCCAAGAGACAGAAACCACCTAAGTGTCCACTGACAGATAACAGATAAAGAAAATGTGGGGTACACACATACACACACCTCGGATATTATTCAGCCATAAAGAAGAACGGAATCTTGCCATTGTGACAACACAGAAGGAAGGACCCTGCAGGCGTTATGCTGAGTGAAAGAATTCAGACAGAGAAACATACTGTCTGATCTCACATGTAAAACCTTAAAAAACAAATGAACAAACAAACCCACCCCCCACCCACGAAGTTCACAGATACACAGAACAGGACTGGGGGTTGCCAGAGGTCGAGCATAAGGAAGTGGGCAAAAAGGGCGAAAAGGATCAAAATGTACAAACTTACCAGTTAATAGTACTATACTGCATATTTAAAAGGTGCTTAGAAAGTAGATCTTAAAAATTCTCATCAAAAGTTTTTAGAACTTTGTATGGTGACAGATACTAACTAGACTTATCATGGGTGATCATTTCTAATATATACAAGTCCCGAATCATTATGTTCCACACCTGAGACAAATTTAGTATTTTGTCACTTAGATGTCAATTAAAAAAAAAAAAAAAAACAGAAACAGGGGCGCCTGGGTGGCTCAGTCGTTAAGCATCTGCCTTCGGCTCAGGTCATGATCCCAGGGTCCTGGGATCGAGCCCCACATCAGGCTCCCTGCTTGGCAGGAGGCCTGCTTCTCCCTCTCCCACTTCCCCTGCTTGTGTTCCCTCTCTCGCTGTGTCTCTCTCTGTCAAATAAATTAATAAAATCTTAAAAACAATTGCTTAAAGCAAATAGAATCCAGATGCCATCAGAACGAACAGTAAACTAGAAGAAACCTTATAAGGGGAGGGCTTTACACACTTGCTTACCATTGTTCTTCTCACTGTCGGCAGGCTTCATCTGTATAGGATGATGCATCTAAAAAGGAAAACACACACATATTATCATTGTACCCACTGAAGGTATTCAGAAATATAAACGAGGACTCTAAAGGAAATACCGAAACTAGAGCCTTAAGAGTTTTCTCTGACCTCACATCTGCCTCATGATCATTTCTTCCCAAAATATCAAAATAGACAGAATCTGAATCAGGAAGTCAAAATTCCCTTGGCTAAGAGAGAACTAAACCACTTTCAGCCTATCTTCTTTGAAATGTTCCCTTTATGCCCTCCTTTATATCAATCCCTCGGGCAGTCACCTTTTCCCCAAAATGGTTTTCAGTGTGTGCGTGACATGCATAAGTATGTTCCATATTTGAAACCACCACAGTTCCACTTACTAGTAGGAGCTTTCTTACCCCTGGGAGGACCTTCATGTTGTGAAGAGCATTCTGCGCTTCTAATGCAGCTTTGCGAGTGTAAAATGTAACAAAACAGCACCCTGCAATAAATAAAATTTCACCAAATCAAACTCCTTTGAAAGCAGATAATCCCTAGAGTACTCCCTCCTCCATGGACATACTGGAACTTCAAAGAGAAGGCTAAACTTATTAAAATTAGCAATCCCCCTCCTGGGGGGGGGGGGAGAAGCAGAAAAAACCCTACATTACTTTCTATGCATTTTCTTTATCGTTATAGTCTCTGAGTTCTACTAAAATTCTTTAGCTGCTCCTCTAACTTCTCTGGGAAAGATAACTTCCCTTACAAATGTCATTGTACCATGCCATTCAACCCACCCTAGTTGGAGCACCAGGTTATGTGGGGTAAGACATTCAGGAACAAACAAAAGAGACGGGCCCTGCACTCTTGTGGCTTGTAGTCTACCAGGAACTCATTCTTTCTCAGAATAAATCACTCCTTACATTGTAGCCAATTTCTACCATATGCTTCAAACATAATTACCATTTATTAAATTATAAAATGACGAAAGAGCAAGAAACACTTAATATCTTTTTTTGGACCCTTGGTTTTCATCAAATATAATTAAGCTTCTAACAGCACATGGCCCTGACTGAGGAGATCTGCAGATTTTGTGCTTTGTATCTTTATTAGGGATAGGAGGGGAGAAGTTTGTCTTGTAAATATGGACTCCTAGTCCCAGGAGATACAATACTGATTCCTTTCAAAATCAGTGCAATTTTAGGATTCTAAATCACTATGCAGTGATTACATCGCCAGTCATTTTCAGAAACTATAATACTTTATATTTTTGGTTAATTATGCCAGAAAAGGAAAATAATTTCTCTGCTTCTAGATCCTCTGTTATTAAACTGGCTTCAAACATAACAATCCTGCTTGCTTACATCTGCAATGTAGAACAGCTTCCACAGAAAATTATTATGAAATAGATTATTTGGAAAAGAATATTATATGTGCGTGTACAGGGCAAAGCTAATGGCTTTTCTACCGTTGTTTCCATAAAGCTTCTACTTTGGTAGGTATTTCTGCAAGTAGCTCAGCCTTTCTTCCATTCATCTTGTAGGCTACAACAAACAGGTTACCTACAAACAGGTCCCTCCTGGTTGCTAAGCCATTCTGCAAGGCCTCTGTAACACTAACAGAAATCCACAGGTATGGTGTGGACAGTCTTTTTCTTTCAGCTTAGTCTAGCCAAAACACCAAAGAAAACCTTATGTGGTTGGTTTATTTCAACTTTGTCATTCCATTCCCAAGATCAAGAGACACTCACATTAAAAAGACACACACACACACACACACACACACACACACACACACACTCATGAGTCTGTCTCTTGAATTCAGAGCTCTCGCAAAGGACCACCTATAATCCAATTTACAAATTATCCTCATGATGTCACCTTAACTTTTTATTTTTATGCCATTAAATGTGTTTGGGCTGGAAGATATAACTACTATAAAAGGACATAGTTCCTCCCTTTAGAATGTGATCAGAGGAGCATTCTGGCAATGATAGCAAGCACACTGACAGAAATTACCTATAAAACCCAAAGCCCTTACCTTTGCTCTGAGGGGGGTTTTGGCTCCTATCCCTTAGGACATTGATTTCATAGACAGCACCATACTGTTCAAAGAGTTCCCTCAAGTCCTTCTCAGACCAGGTCCTCGGAACCTGGCCCACAAACATCTTGATAGCATCAAGATCTGGTTGGTCTGGGTGGTCCAGCGTGCCGTTCATTTTCTTTGAGCTGCATGAAACAAAATATAGCTTCTATTACGTATTCATGGTGCTCTCTAGGGGGATGTTTCTTTTCTTTAAACATCTCAACTACTTCCTGAAAAAGTAGGGGGAAAGAATTCTACTTCTTTTTACTACTGCCATTCAATACACCAGAGTTCCCTGGTCCTCCCCTTCACCCATGGCCATGCCTTCCATTAGATCCCAAACTGAAGTCACATTCTGATTAGGACATCCTGGGTTTTAACTAAGGAACCAGGCATCACTCATTCCTTGTCTAGCATGAGAACTCTCAGAACTTAAGACGTAAAGTTTCTAATGCAAGTTTTCATAGTTTTGAAGCACAGTTAACAAAACTTTTAAAAATGTACATAAAAATCACAAAGGACTCTTGATTATGGAATAAGATTCAGGACTCCCAATGTATACAATGACAGGTAAAAGTTTTCTTTCAGCAGACATCAGAACAGAACACTTGATTTCCAAGGCCTGAGCTAAGAAAAGAGTGGAAACAATGTTGGCCCGGGGCTCCTGGCTGGCTCAGTCAGTAGAACATGTGACTCTTGATCTCAGAGTTTTGAGTTTGAGCCCCACTTTAGTGGGGGGGGGAGGGTGGGAAGAAGAAGGCAAAAAAAGCTTTGCCTTTTAAACTGTCACAATCCTATCACATCAAACTTGTAATGCTCCTACTTAATACCTTCATTTTTATCCCTCCCACTACCAATAGCCTAGGGAGATTCCTTCCTGGACTACAAATGTTTCCAATCAGAATGAATCAAAGTCCTTCTCCTACCACTGCCCAAGATCTTACTCTTTAGCCTTCATCTCAACCATTAACAACTTAAATTCCAAATAGCTAGCATTGTTAACTTTTCTGTTAGTGTCTGCTTAATCCAGAAATCACTTCATCATATTCAAATTTGCCATGTCCTAACATCAACACTAAATAAAATGCTAGTTTTCTAGCAAAACAATAGTTTTTCCACCACTGCTATCTTCTGAACAATAACTGAAGACCCCTGAAAATGCTGGATCTATGCAGGTATTTCAACCTCTGTATTTTAATTACTATATGTCTTTTTTAAAAAGATAGTGTGTGCACGCGTGCAAGCACGTGCACACAAGCACAGGGGGAGGGGCAGAGGGACCAGGGGAGAAATTCAAGCAGACTCTCCACTGAGTGTGGAGCCCGACTCAGGGCTCTATCCCATTACCCTGAGTTCATGACCTGAGCAGAAATCAAGTCAGATTCTTAACCAACCGAGCCACCCAGGCACTCCATTAAATTTCTTACAACTGAACACCCACAGGGACTATTACATGTCACCTTGCCTGAATCTAGCACTAAATATCAAAAGTGTAAGACAAATGGCATATATAGACCAACTCTTGTCACGATGTCTGTAAAGGTTTCCCATACTCTTTCAGGTTAGTCAGTCTCGTCAGGACTCAAACAGTACTAAATTCCCACCTTCATTATAGTATTTACCACCTTTTAGCATCATCTGGCTGTATCTACCTCTCCCAACTAGACTGACAGTTCCTTGAAGGCAGAAACTGTTTTATTGGCTATTCATTCTTACAGCCACACCTGGTATATAGCACGTGGCTCAAAGAAGTACTCAGATCTGGGATGGGAGCAATTTCTTCTCAATAATTCCCCCCTTTAAGCAACTAATTCTGATAAAAATGAATGTTGTGCACAAAGAGGGCTCACGAATTAAAGAGCAGCAGCTAGTATCGCCTGTCATTATTTGATTCTCACAGATCAATATCCTTTTTTTGCCCAAGTGTTTTGAAATGCATTGTTTTATTGGCTTTCCTTTACTAATTCAAAACCAAGTGTGTCAAGTTGTTGTAAAAATATACTTGTAGTTACTTTTAGAAGCTTAATCGCAATGTTCTAACAGAAATCATGCTACTGTGATAAATAAAAAAAAAACAAGCCTCATGACTAATGAAACAATGGTGGCTGCTCCCTACAACTTGCCTCCAACAAGTTTAATTATCATTTTATTAAAATGCTGCTGGTCTTTAATCATATTTCTATTCTAGGGAGGGTTAACAGAGAACCCAAATGGCTCTCAGAATATGTTTTGATAAGGACGCTGACACTATTTTTGAAAAGAGGTGGGGGTTTATCAATTCGTAATTACACTGGAGGCAACAGCTCTCAGTCTGTCCCTTCCTTCTGCATTTGTGTGCCCTTTCTAAATTTTCTACATCACAGTTTAGTGCACAAGCAGAAGCACAGTCAATATATATGAATTATGATTTATCCAAAAGTACAGTGGAGACTTGGCATTCTAGACAAATGCCCTCCCTTTCTCTTTACTCTCCAAATCTTTCTCCATTTCTTCATGTCCACCCACTCCATGAACCACCGTTTCCCCTGTGTATCCCAATTCATTAGCGGGAAGAATCCCCTAGACCAGTGCTATTTAAAGTGCCTAAGGAGCAGGGGAAATCTTCAAACTTAACCCTTTAGAAACTTTTACAGCAATTGAGCTAAGTAACTTTATATATATATTCCATCTAGTGATAATAAAAAGATACGAAATGCAAGCTTACGCCTTATTATTTTGTTTTCCTACTAAAATGTTTTTATTGTGGTTTATAAGTCGGGTGGCAGCAGGACAGTGTTCTCACTGTCCTTCACCAATCTGAGAAGCACTTGTAGAGTGTAGCAAATTATCAGGCCAGGCTGAAGATGCCATGGACATCAGGTAACTGTGGAGTTTCTGCACTGACTTATCCCTTCCTCTAACAAATAGTGGGCACTTAGTTATACAGGCCTGACACTGTGTGAAATGTGGTATATGTTGTTGAATAAGGAAAATGTGGATATCAACTGTTACTGTGTCAGAGAACAATGTTCTTCTATCCTCAACCTTCCACACACAGTTCCAGTATGCATGTTGCCCTTAGTTAAAAGTCACCACTGCACAAAAGTCACCTGGGGACAAGACTCTCAATGTGATATGGCAAGGACCCCACATCATCCATGTATGGCATTTATTCCATGTATCACTAAAAACACTCTCAAACATGTGCCTTACCTCCCCATTGATGGGGAGCTCTTCAGAGTCCGTGATCATAAATTATTGCTATTTATTATGCCGACTCAAGAACCAATGAATTCAGCAGCCCCCTGGAGAAGTACCTATACTGTCCCTGTCATTCCTAAGAGGCAAGTCTATGGAAATTCTTTTTTTTTTTTTTAAAGATTTTATTTATTTGACAGAGACACAGAGAGAGCAGTAGGCAGAGCGGCAGGCAGAGGGAGAAGTAGACTCCCTGCGGAGCAAGGAGCCCGAGGTGGGGCTCGATCCCAGGATTCTGGGATCATGACCTGAGCTGAAAGCAGACGCTTAATGAGTGAGCCACCCAGGCGCCCAAGTCTATGGAAATTCTTATCCTCTGTGAAAGTATTGACCTGAGAGTAGGATGGAAGAGAGGAAAAGCAGGGCCCATAGCAGTGAGGGAAGAGGAGAGATGAGGAGGCAGCAAGTGTTTTAGGGGACAGGAACAGCACCAACCCACCTCTTCTAATGTTTCTGGCAGCAACTGGCAAATAACATTAGGAATGAGAAATTATGAAAAATCAGGACCAGATGCTGCCTTGTCTACCCTGATTCTTGATGGAACATGCCCCAGGAAAATAAAACAGAGAACCAATTTGGAAGAGAGACAGGAAAGAGAAAACTTATTTTCAAAGCACATACTTGTTCAGAATTCTTAAACCCTCTTTTCTCTTTCTCCTATCTCTCTTTCAAAACTTCCTGGCCTAAGGCCAGCTCAGGGGCACAGAGTTGATGTTCTGTCCCTCTCTCCCATCCCCTGACCCCAGCCAACTAGACGAGGGGGTGGATCCTAACCCAACAAACTGATCTACTGGCTAGCCAGAAATCTAAGACCTATGCCTAAAACAGAAAGACAGGCCTGGCCAATCAAGTTCCTTACCGCTACACTGAGCAAGTCAATAGCCACTGGCCACATGTGGCTACTGCACAGGACAGCAGAGGTATTTTATCATCACAGAAAGTTCTACGGCACATTACATTGCTCTAAAGAATCTGGAACTGGGGCACCTGGGTGGTTCAGTTGGTTAAGCGATTGCCTTTGGCTCAGGTCATGATCCTGGAATCCCGGGACTGAGTCCCGCATCGGGCTCCCTGCTTGGTGGGGAGTCTGCTTCTCCCTCTGACCCTAACCCCTCTTGTGCTCTCTCTCTCCAATAAATAAAATACAATCTTTAAAAAAAAAAAAAAGAAAAGAATCTGGAACTGGTTAACAGAAATAGGCAGTGCTCAAGTCAGAAGTGGGAGAGTTGCAACTAGAGATAGCGTAAGTTGACAAGATAAAAGGGCAGTGGCAAGAGATAACAAGAGGTCATCCTACGACATAGATGAAGGTTGAAAACATGATGCCAAGTGAAAGAAGCCAACCGCCAAAGGCTACACACTGTGTGATTTCATTTATGTAAAATTTCCAGAACAGATCAATCTATAAAAACAGAAAGCAGGTTAGCAGGTGCCTACGAATGGGAACTGAGGGTGGGGAGGATGCCTGCTAATGGGACAAGATCTCTTCCTGGGGTGATAAAAGTGTCCTGGAATTAGACAGTGGTGACAAGCTGCACAACTCTGTGGATACAGTAAAAGTCACTGAACTGTGCACTTTTAAAAGGGTACATTTTGGGGCTCCTGGGTGGCTCAGCTGTTCCCTCTCTCACTGTGTCTCTGTCAAATAAATACAATCTTTAAATAACTAAATAAATAAAGGGTAAATTTGGTTGCGTGAATTACATCTTAATTTGAGAGAGAGACATATACAGAGCAAGAGGAGAAAACAGGCTGGAAGGACCGTGGCAAGGCAAAGCTGTGCTGCACCCACAGTTGTGAGGTGACTGAAAAGCAGAAGTGGCAGCACATGCAGAGAGAGCAGAACATGTGTCCAGGGCCAGAAAGATGGGAGTTTCCAGGTCTTCCGGCTGTGGAGTTCCTGATTACATTACAGTCTCGTCCATGTGTGTCCTTACAAGAAAACCCTCTAATATATCAATATATGCTAGTTCGACTGAGTATCTGTTCCTTGCAGTCAAACAGGCTAGCAAATACTACCTTTATATCTGTTTAAAAATCATTTCCTTGGGGGGAACGAAATGGGTAGAGGGGATTAAGTAAGTACAAATTTCTAGTTACAAAATAAGTAAGTCATGGGGTTACAGCATGGGAATATAGTAAATACAACTATTAACTCTTCAGGGCGCCTGGGTGGCTCAGTTGGTTAAGCGTCTGCCTTCAGCCCAAGTCATGATCCCAGGGTCCTGGGATTGAGCCCCACATGGGGCTCCCTGCTCAGTGGGGAGCCTGCTTCTCCCTCTCCCTCTGCCGCTCCCCCTGCTTGTGCTCTGTCAAATGAATAAATAAAATCTAAAAAAACAAAAAAACAAACTATTAACTCTTCAAGGTAACGGACAGTAATTAGACTTATTGTCATGACCATTTCACAACAATACAAATGTCAAAAACTGTGCTGCACACCTGAAACTAGTATGTCAATTGTACTTCAATACATTTTAAAAAATCATTTCCAAAACCTTTCGTTACTCATTTTTTTCTCTCACCCCTTCTCACTACCTGTTGACCTCCACTTGTTCATTACATAAACAGAAAAATTTCAGATACTTACCAATCCTTCCAACTCCCCAAGGGGCATAAATATTTGCTGCTTCCCGATCTCCAGCCACCCACCCACCCCTATCAGGTCCCTCTCTGTGCTGTGGAAACTGGCACAGAAGAACATGAGAAGAGAAAGGACCCAGAAACACTGGCCTGAATTACTTACCAGCTGTTCTCTAGTGCAAACCAGACAAAATGCATGTACGCTGGAAGGAAGAACTTCCATTTGGATAAAGGGAAATCTTCCTGTTAGTTGGGGTATTAGGTACTAGAAAAGGCTAGTAATAAAGGTTTTTAAATCACCTTTCAGCAACTGACCAGGCTAACGATCTGCTTGTGAAGGTTTTCAGCCTTTTCTGAGGAAGGGAGATAACATCTGGAGACTTTAGTTCAGTAACTACCTTTAATTATAAAAAAAAAAACAACAAACCTCACAGGGCTTATCATTCATTCAGCTGTATTTCCCAAGTTCCTACTATGTGCAAGATACCACACACTATAGGGGGCTATAGAAGGGGACTGAGCAACACTGCCCTGAAGGCAATGACACTGAACAACTGGAAGGACACAACTATAATGCCCTACAAATATTTTCACAGATATATAAAAGTTCTGTGAAAGAAAGTGGCTAGGATAGGTTTTTTTATTTGGGGGAGGAGGGCAGGGGTTTAAGGTGAATGGACAGAGGAGCTGGAAACACTGCTGTATAGCATGGAATGATGAGGGCATGGTAAGAACTCAGGAAAAAGAGATCAGAGGAGAGTGAGACAGACAGCAACAGAAAGGTAGAAAAGGACCTGAGAAAGCGAGGGGAGAGTACACAAACATTTTAAAAGATTAGAAAAAAGAGAGAAAACATTAGAAAATCAATGAGAATAAACAGACAGGTTGGAGAGACCCAGTGAAGAGCTTTTCATGTGATACTGACAGGCTTGGACTTTATTCCAAGATTTTTAAACAAGGCAGTGATCAGATTTATCTTTTAAAAGACACCTGTCAGGGGTGCCTGGGTGGCTCAGTTGTTTAGCGTCTGCCTTCAGCTCGGGTCATGATCCCAGCGTCCTGGGATAGAGCCTCATATTGGGCTCCCTGCTTATTGGGGAGCCGACTTCTCCCTCTTCCTCTACCGGCTGCTGCTCCCCCTGCTTGTGCTCTCTGTCAAATAAATAAAAATCTTAAGAAAAAAATAAAAAAATAAAAGATACCTGGCAATAATACAGAGGATGAAATAAAATGGGAAAATACGGAGATTTCCATACAAACTAGCTCCCAAGATTAGGGCCCAGTCTCAGGCAATGCTGAAAAATTTGGGGGCAGGACTCATAGAACTTGGGAGATCCCTTGATGAAAAAGAGGAAAAGGGAAGAAGTTACTGATCACTCCTGGGTTCTAGTAGAGACAATCTGGGAAAGTGTTTTTGCATGGGAAGTTCAGGGGACATTTGGGTGATTAAATACTGAGATCTGAGAATCAGAGAAGTACATTGGTACCCCCTTAAGCCAAGGGAAAGCCAAGAGAAAAGGGCCTGAGCTACACCTCCTGAACAACACCCAGCTCCTAGGATATAAGCAAAGTAAGAGGAACCAGGGAAGCTGAAGAGTGGTCAGAGCAGAATCAAGGACATTGTTAAAAATAAGAAAAGAAACAGGCACCTGGGTGGCTCAGTTGGTTAAGGGACTGCCTTCGGCTCAGGTCAGGATCCTGGAGTCCCAGGATGAGTCCAGCATCAGGCTCCCTGCTCAGCAGGGAGTCTGCTTCTCCCTCTCACCCTCCCCCCCCTCATGCTCTATCATTCTCTCTCAATAAATAAATAAAAATCTTAAAAAAAAAAAAATAAGACTAGGAACTACAGTTCAGGTCCCCTGACCCTTCCACGCCTCCACCAGCCATTCTTCTCTTCTTTGTTGTAAAGAAATTTTGAAAAAGATACATTGCTCAATTATATTCCCAGGCAAAATCACTTGAGAGAGAAAACCAGTGATATCAAGTCTCCTGCTAATGAGTATGAGTTAAAAGAAGAGCTGAGAATCCAACAAAAAAGTGGCAAACACACCATCAAGAACTTCCTTAACTCTGTGGTGTTTTGGCATATAATACCCATGGGAGTGGGCCCGAGGACTTGCAATAATGAGAGGAGCTGATGGGTACCTGGCTCAATGACACCTGAGACAACCTGGTCTAGGGGTAAAAAATAAAAAGAGGGTATCATTAAACTTGGTTTTAGGTCCAAGGCTGACACCAACTGTCCCCAGGCAAGTCAGCTATAGCCTCTCTCAACTGGGTTTCTCATCTGTAAAACAGGGGCAATAGCCTGTGACCAATTAACTTCCTGAAGCTTTTATAGGATGGAGGACTAAACAAATGCAAACGCACTAGGGAAGAAATGATGCGATGGTGTCCCATCACCTCTAACAGAATGAGCTGCATTCAGTCCATTAGCTCTCCAACTTTAGTGTGCATGAAAACCCCATGGGACATTGCTAAAATACAGATTCTGGGGTCCTGTTCTAAGCATAAGACTATCTGGGCATGGGTCCAGGGATCAGCACTTTTACATTCCAGGTAACTTTCCTGCAGTGATCTGTGATCCAGATTTCATGGGATACTGAACTAGTCTAACCTCATGAAAGATGAGAAATCAGGCTGAGGAAAAATGCTGTATCTACGGGCCAAATAAAGGCAGTGGCAAAGCATGGAGAGAAACTGTTACAATGAAAGACAATTTGAGCCACAAAGTCCTCTTTCTAAGGAGATATATCTAGTACATGGGAGTACTTCTATTATGTATTAAGTCTTTACGGTGGCATTCAGTGTGATTTCACTTGTTATCTACAGCTAAAATAAAATTTTAGCAGTAAAGAACTTGCATAAAAAGACACATCTAAATTACCATTATTTTTGGATACTACAGAGAAGGCATAGCGTCCATTGCAAAGGAGAAAGCCAGCTAACTTTGAGATCCCCCAAACCATTCCACAGAGCACTGTTTAAAATATGCTCTTATCCACACCTGTTACATGTAATCCCAAGGGTAAACTGATTTCCAATGGAGGCCCTGATCTCAAGGCCTTACACTACCACCTGTTATCTAGGGACTATTCTAGCATTTAATATTCTTGGCTTTGAATAACCTAAGGCTCATCTGCTTGAGGTTTCAAGATACTCTGAAGCCTGGTTAAAGTAACTGAAATCAGGAGTCAGAAATGTGTTCTTCTCTACCAAGTGCAGAATTCAGGTTCCCTGAAGCTACAGCTCAGGGCCAGGTTAGCAATTTAGCTGCGTACAACAGCAGCGTCACTTCCTGAACAGTACTGCACACTGATTAGATTTCTCATTCCCCTGTTGAAAATTTGGGCAAACTGCCAATCAAGATTGATCCAGTTTTGCTTTTTTTGGGGGGGTCAATCTGACATCCCTGAAATCATGTATTGTGTTGTATTTTCAATTAGACTGGGAAAAAAATCAGAGCCCAGGGTTACAGTTTAGATACCAATACAGCATTCTGCATACAACACTAAATACACTCTAGTAACCAGTCTCCTCTGTGATCTAAGAATTTCACATACATAACTTCCCAAAAGATTATTTGAAATTGCATACCCAATGCAAAGCAGTAAAGCTAAGGTTAAAAAAAAAATACCTTGGAATCTATCATATGGGAAAACACTACAGCTTGAAGGATTGGAGCCAACACACTTGAGTTGATGTTGCTGCTCATATATCAAATACACCCTTCTGTAGAGAACTTAGTTACAGCCCCAAGGAAATCAGCAGTGATGAGACAGAATCAGACTACAATAGAAAATAATAATAGTGTGGACTTTGGCTTCCTCACCCAATTTTTTCTTCCCTCTTTTAGGGAAAGGGACCAGTTTCATCAAATAACAAAGAAAATAGCCCAGTTCCTCTGCTTATGATAAAAATTAGACGACAAAAATACTTACACAGGACTGGAATTCAAAGAGCAATGATCCACCATCATTTCTGGAAGGAAATCCAACTTAAACGCAGCCATCACCTCACTCTCCCCTTCAGAAGCCAATGATATTAACTTGCTGCACTTGTCTGATCCACAAATACACACAGCTTTAGCTTCCTGGGCCCCACAAAAAACACAAAGTGGAAAGAGGAGCTCAGGGAAACCAGCAGTAAGTGCCACAGAAACAGGCAGGACTGGGGAGGGGAAGGGGAGTACTGGATTAAAAGGGGGATGTGAGCATGTGAAGGGAGGCTCAGCCCGGCACACAATGAAAGTGCTGATGCGCCAGGCTGGGTTTGTGTGATTTTCCCTGGCGAAGCAGTACTAAGTGCACTGTCAGATAAATACAGTGTCAGATCCATGAAGATAGCAGTGGCTAACAGAGCAGAAGAAACACAAACTTGTTTCACATCCTCCAAACTCCTTTCTGCAAATCTAGTTTTGAGGGGCCCCAAAGCCTAAAAACTACCTAAAGCAAAAAAACAAACAAACAAACAAACAAAAAAAGAACAAAACCCAAAAACCAAAAATGAAAACAGCTTAAGGAAAAAAAAAAGAAAGCTCACCTCATGTGGTCTGAAAATGTTTCTGGAAAGGAAAACTGGGTTGTTGGCCTTGGTTTAAACTTAGTTACCATGTGCCAAAGACAGCAATGAGCACAGTGCTGGGTCCAAACTAACCTCAGCATAGTCACATAAGGAATGGTTCAGACCGTCAGAAGCAGGCCAGAGGCCAGCTGGCTGAAGAACTGGTCACCAAAAACTTAAGGGCTCATATACTAACTACTACCTGCACTGGACCAACCCCAACTTCTTGATGGTGTGCTGAGAGCAAATGTGCTCCCTAATGGTTCCTTATCAGAGTGAAGGACTTTTTAAAAATTCCTGATTCAGTGACCTTCATTAGGTGGGACAGGCAAAACTTTACTCTGAATCTTATTTTACCAGAAAATTTAAAAAGCAAAAATAAAAATGGAATAGTAATATTCTGCCTTTTGATAGAATACTAGGAAACAATGTCTTTTCTGTTGTTCGACCTTTCTAGAGAAACAAAAACCACCAGAGTGATGATAATGAGAAAGAAGCGGGGCCCACTAGGAGCAAACACTCAAACATGTAAGGGAAGGACAGAGGAATGTAAACGAAGTCTCTTCGTTCTCCATCCTCCTTTAAACTGATGCTAAAACCAAGATTAATGAACACACACATAAAAATTCTATTATGGGTGAGCAGTAGAAATGGATATACTTAGCAGTCAAGGCAGATGTGGTGCTCCCGTTCTCAATTTAGCTTCCCATCCTCCAAACAACAAATGGTGGCATTTCAATATTTAGGCAGTGACTCTAAAACTATATCTCTGAAGGCTCCCAAATTGCGCAGGCCTTCTTTCCATTTTTATCATTAGGATCGCCTTACCTCAAAGATTTCACTTCACTCAAGCTCAGTTCACAACACAGGGAATTTTGAAAAAAGGAAGTTATGTTCAGCCTGTAAAGAGGTAAACAAATGAACTCCTAAACGTATAGCGTTACTTAAAAACAAAAATAATGAAAGGCAACATGTCATTGCGTAGGCCTAAGTGTTGTAGCCTGGCTAACAGTGCCTGACCCCCATCTGCATCTGACCATGGAAGGTAGAAACTGTGTCTCCTAATAAACAGGCATAACCATCCGAAAGTTAGAACTACAACAACAGCTAACCGCTTTTCTATTTTGTCAGAGACCCTGGCTCCTCTGACCTACTACTTTGGAGAGAGAAGTTGCAGGAGATCTCTTCCACCTACTAAAGGGGGACGCTAAACCAGGCTGCAGTGAGAGGAGACTGCAACGGGCACACAGAGCACACAGTTCATCAAATGCTGACTGCCAGGCAGGCAGAAGACAGTAACCCTAGCTGGGACTGGTTAAGTTACTGGTTAGTTCTGACCTCGCTTCTTCTATGTACCCTGGAGCTGATCACATGCCTCTTCCTATAGAAAGCTATCAGGACCAAGGAGTAACTTTGTGAGGCCGGTCAACAACTAAATTAGGGTTGTTTGGGTTTTTTTTTAGTTCAAGGGTTCCTTTAAAAAGGAATCAACAATAAGGAATCTCACTGGTTATTGTTATGCTTTCACTATTCACTAAAAATATATCTAGTTCTATCCCCATTTTAATCAGAATCACATGTATAACGAAAGTATTTAATGTGGAAGACTTTACTGAGCAGCCAGGCACTGCTCAGTGCATGGAAGGATGTGCACTCCTTACAGTAATTTTTACCAAGCCAAAGGTTGAAAAGCACTGGTTTTAGAGTAATGTTTTAAAATCTATTTTATGATTTATAAGACAAGACTGCTTTAAAAACTTAAAAGATGGAAATGTTATCACATGAAGGAGGACGCTTCTCTTTAGTCAGGTCACAAGAGTCATCTCAGTATAATTAAATTCAACATGCTTGTGGGAAAAGAAAGCACGGAAATTTATCACAAGTCACAATTTTAGAGAAAGATTAAAAAGTCAAGTGATGATAAAAACAATTATTCAAATACAAAAATGCAGATGTTAAGGGAAAATTAAAAAGTAGAATTAGCAGTTACTCACAGAAAACTGCCCATAGGTTGTTTTTTAAATTTCTTAATCAGAAACACATTCCAGGCTTTTCCCACAAAGGATGCATTAAAAGTAAAGACATGGCAGGAAAGCTTATAACCAAGGGTCCACTGCAAGAGGTTTTAATTTTCCCTCACTCCCTTTTTACTGTCTGTCCTCTCACTATAAATTTACATACATGGTTTCCTTTTCTTTCCCTGATGGTCTGTGTTAGTTTTCTTTGCCTTGAATATTCTCTACTTCTTTTCTAAGGGCAACAATTCAAAAGCCCAATGATGTGAGGGTAGGGGCAATCAGCCTGCTGTAACATTAAGAACCAAAATCATTAAAACTGACTGGTAGATAAGGGAAACCCTCTAAAGAACAGCACACATGGCATTCAGAACATCAGAATGGAATAAACAGTTTAAAAAACTGGATTAGGAGAGAGAAATGCTAGAAATCACAGCAGTTGTTTTGTCAAAAGAGTGAAAGAGCAAAGAAAAGCATAGTTGAGCAAAAAGGCCCAGGTAGCACATGCAAACGTCAGGCTGTCTATCTTGACTGATAGAACCAGGGAGTTCAATGACAAGTGAAAGGATTTTATACTTCTACCCCAATAATCTAAATGAGTTTTAAAGGGCAAAATGTGACGTCTGGTTATATGAGCATAAAGAAAATCAGAGCCTACTGCCAAATTATAAAAGAGAACCTATGTCATTAAAAACCACCAACAGTCTATATAAGGAAAAGTGTAATAATCTAGGGAAAACTCATGACATCTCAGACAGTTAAATGGATTAGATATTTCCCCCCCAAAGCTTCTAGCAGTTAGGTGACAGAAGGGATGTAGAAAAGAAGCTACTGATACTACTTGAAAATAGGGGCCCCTGGCTGGCTCAGTTGTTGAGCATCTGCCTTCGGCTCAGGTCATGGTCCCAGGGTCCTGGGATAGAGCCCCGCATCAGGCTTCCTGCTCAGTGGGAAGCCTACTTCTCCCTCTCCCATTCCCCCTGCTTGTGTTCCCTCTCTCTGGCTGTGTCTCTTTCAAATAAATAAATAAAATCTTAAAAAAAAAAAAAA